TATAGCTTGTTGTTGTTGTTTGTTATGTGCTGTGGAGTCAGATCCAACTCATAGCAACCCCTTGGATTTCCAGATCTACTGAAGTCGTTCACCCAACCTTACTTCCGAGGAGTGGCTGGTGGGTTTGAACCGCCAGCCTTCTGGTTAGCAGTCAAGTGCCTTAGGCACCAAGCTATCAGAGCTCCTTGTTACAGCATAATACCTCTGATTTGAAAAGAGAGTCTCTGCAAAATAGCTGCAGTTCCTAAAATTGGAAGTTTAAAAAAAGAAAAAAGGAAGAGTTCAGTGTTGAAAACTAGAAGGTGATGCTGGCTGCACAACAAATGAAAATGGTATTCTTTAAAAATTCCAACAATTTTATTTCATTTTATATTTCTTTTTCCTATTTAAGAGGAAATAACACAAGCTTGAAAAGCAGTAAATATGTAAAGAGAAAATTTGTCAACTGATACTGGAAGATCTGACCTAGGTCACACATAAATCTCTCAGACAAGAGTTGCAGGGTAAGCTATAATTTCAGAGAATAAAAGAGAAAATGAAAGCCATAGCCAGTGTCTTCTCTAAGTTGCATAGGTGGATCCACTTTAGTTTTCTGATGGTGTCTGAATATAACGGAAAGAGGCTGGTAGCAAGATCCATTTTACCACTGTATGTAAAAAGTACCTCCACAGAGATGGAATCAGAATGTGACACTCCCAAAGTTGCCTTTAGCACCACAGTCATTGATTAAATAGTTGAAGCCCCACGACCCAACTTACATTGGCAATTGCCTTTCCAGCCTCATTTTCCAAAGTCATGTTGTAAATGGAAGAGGAGCTTTTCTGATTACCAACAGTTAGTCCTTACAAGGAAATAGATGAGAACTGTTGCTACAGTAACACCCTATGACCTAATACTTAATGCCTGTATGAAGTCATTCTTCCCCCATTTAAATACATAAGAATATGTACATCAGAATGAGGTGGAACTGTGTTGTTAGTGTGGCTTTAAATCTGGGGTCTAATGACTGGCAAAAGAAAAAAAGCAATGCCCAGAAGAGGGAAGAGGTTTAGCTAAATTAGCGTACCATAATGCTACTAGTTCTAGAGACTGATTAGCAAAGGGTATGACAGGAGCAATTATTGTTTTGTTCATTGTCCCAAAGTACTAGTTAGACACAGAAAACTCTCAACACAAGCAAAATGTGCAAGTAGGAAGGTGGTCTTGGACAAGTTAGTTATAAACACCATTTCATATGTTGTGAGGTATAGGCAATACATCAGTGCTAACCATATTATTGTGTTCCTCTGAACTCTGCTCTCACACCCTCGCATTTGGGAGACAGACCTAGGATAAAGACAGGTGTTCATAAAGCTAACATTTTATACTGAGTACCCTTAGTACCACTTTTAATGTGCTATAAAACTAGGGGCTTCACTTTTTCATGAACTGTGTGCAAAAAAGCAGAGGCAATGACTGGAGGTTGACTTTGTTTGGCTGTGTTTTATGTTTGCTGTGCTCATATAGTAATGTGATCTTGAAAAAGGTAAGTAACAAAGAGTTTAGCAGTGAAAAATATGCCTAATATAAATACAGTCGAGTCCATGGCAGTTCAGAATTTGAAAAATATGACTGTGGCATTAAATTTTCTAGTGGAATTAACAGAGGAACAGAATACAGCTTTTAAGGCAATATATCTGAGACAGAGAAAGGAGATAATACATCTAACTCTATGGTGTTTATATGGTGGCATTCATATAAAGAAAAGCATAGTAGCTTTATTTAATTGAGAAAATGAATCAATTATACTGATGTTACATCATCAAATTCTTGTGAAATAGAAGCTATAAGTCACCACGTTATGTAACATTGTTAGAAAGCCATAGAATATCTTAAACATTTTGAATCAATTTCAGGTAGTAGCATTACTACCTTAATACAAAATTTATGAAGATGATTTCATGTGATATGTTGCTATCAACACTGGGTAATAAAACTGGTAACAACATCTCTTTAAACACCTGGGCAAAACAACATGGTTACAAGATCATAAAAAAAGACTTTGATATTGCTGTTTCTCTCTTTCTTATGGTAAAGAGCATGCATTAAAATAGTACAGTTTTAAGTTGCCTTAAACCACGCTTTTAACTCACAAAACAGGGCAAGATGGAGACTTTCTCTAAGATCTTGGTTCAGAAAGAAATTTCCTCCCTTGAAGTCATTTGGTTCATATATCACTGAAGACAATGTCTCACAATCCGTTCTTGAACTCATTTTAAAAATCTCGTTTAAAATGTTTACAGCATATTTTCCTCCCTGTGAATTGAAAATTTGTGAAAAACACTCTCTTTGTTGTAAAAAGTAGGTCTGTAAATCTTTGTTCATTACAAGTAAGTCTCCTGTTGAAGTAGACATATCTTACTAAAATATGGAACTGAAAGTATGTATGTATGCTTGAAAAAAACAAAAGCAAGTACCATAGGTATCTCATAGAAGTTTCCTGGGCTTTTCAAGATTTTTAAAAGATGGTATGGCTTGCAAACAAAAGACAGGCATATGAGTTGAACATTTACCTGAGGCAGATACAGCCCTTGAGAGAACAATCATGGGAGAAAGAAGAGCTACTTATACACAGGGAGACAGTTCAAGGGGCAGGAGTGCATGGAGGGATGGACACAGGGAAGAGGTAACTATGGGGAGGAGATGGGAGGGGAGCTGTTACAGTGTGGTAAACTGTGGTCAATGTCATGAGACAAAGTGTATGTGAACTGCTGTATGGAAAGTGAATTTGCTCTGTAAATTTTCACCCAAATCACAATAATAAATAAATAAATATATGATAGGGCTTGATACTAAAATCCTTAAACACTCCAGGTGGTGGCTGACAGCTCTGCCTTCCTTTTTAATGTAAATCTTCACTTGCAGAGACTTATCCAGAAGTACTCATTGACTAGAGGAACAAGAACAAGCGTTAATTCTACACACCGTTCAATGGAAACTATCAGGGCAGTGGTGTTTCAGTGTTGGAATTCTTGCCTTCCATGTGGAAGACGCAGTTCAATTCCCAGCTAGTGCACCTCATGCACAGCCCCTAGCCATCTGTTAGTGGTGGAGGCTTATGTGTTGCTAGGATACAGAGTAGGTTTCAAGGGAGCTTCCAGACTAAGAAGAAATAGGAAGGAAAATCTGTCTACTTCTAAAAATCTGACAATGAAACCCCATAGAACACAGTGGTCTGATCCCCAAGCAATCATGGATTTAGCATAGCACAGGACCAGGTAGCATTTCCTTCTGTTGTACACAGGTTTGCCAGGGGCATACTCAATGGCAGCTAACAGCACACATCTAAGTAAACTAAGAGCCAGTCAGTCCAGGACAAAGGTTTCAGAGAGTGGCGTTTGGGAAGGGAGTGATGAAAAGCTAAGAGCAGTAATGCGTATGTGCTATATTCAGTTGAGATGATACATGGCAAAGCACTTCTTAAAACACTCAGCCACTAGGTGGAAGGGTCTGCTGATCAGCCACTTGGATCAGCCACTTGGATGCCGAAGAAATACAAAAACCTTGAGACACTTATTATCTAGTTGAGAAGAACCCATATGCCAAAATTGATCATTTCTGAACTTTACCATTTGTTGTTGTTGTTGTTATGTGCCATCGAGTTGGACCCAACTCATAGCGACCCCTCCTTGGGTTTCCAAGGCAATATCACTATGGAAGTAGATTGCCCCATCTTCCTTCCAAGGAGTGGCTGGTGGGTTTGAACCACCAGCCTTCTGGTTAGCAGTCAAAGGCCTTAGGTACTATGCTACCAGAGCTCCTAAACTTTACCATACCAAGTATAAATATATACCAAGTATAAATATATGCAAATCTAATGGTTTTTAAATAATGGTACGATCAAAGGCAGGTATAATGCAGGTCCTGGAAGGAAAAATGCATGGGAGGAGTCCCAGCACCACCACAACCCAGCCTTGCCACTTTGGACATGCCCAGTCCTCTAGACACCCAGTTTCCCCATGTTAGAATAGAGATGATCATCCCTACCAGCCGCAAGGTGGTTGTGCAGATCACATGAGAGTATGTGAAAGAACCTGTTAAAGCACCATTAAAAACATAGAAGGAACTATTATTATTTTCCCTACATTTTACCAGCCAATCGGAGCTCAGTTATCCCAGAATACAACTGGGCAGTATTTGGTTCCTGAAATCTTTGTTTTTAGAAAATTGGGTACCAGAAACTCCATTTTCATTGAGTTTTTAGTAACTGTGGGCTTTTTTAGTCTCACATTTTAGTAACTTTCTAAGAGATATGGTTTATTAATATTAGACGTATAAGCCGCCTGCCTTTAGAATGGTGATTAGGAACAGGCACTCTTAACCAGACTCTGCTTTTATTCCCTGAAAAACAGTGTAAAACTTGCATGAATTTGAGTTTCCCAGAGAACATTGCTGCCCTGGAAACAGGCAAAAGGAACTTTGGAAAAGGTGGAGCCTTCACCCCATTCCTGAGTTAGAGGCAAATACTTCAACCACATAATTAAAGTTTTCTTCACAAAATAGGGGATTGTAAGCAGACACTGGCAGGAATCCAAAATTCTAATTTCTGACTATGATTTAATTTCAATTTTAAATAAATCGGTTTTTAATTTAAAAAGAGTGAGCTTCATAACATTAGCAATGATTGCAACATTAAGCCCAGTGTTCACAATCTAGCAATATAAAACATTATTTATATCTGAATCGTAAACAGCCTTTTGAAATGGATTATGGTTTTTCTCCCTATTCTAATACAACCTGGAGGGTACTAAAAAGTGTTGTGTGAAATTAACATTCTGCTGACTTTCGCCTATAAATGAGAAGCGAGCTATTAACATTTGTGTATTTTCATTATGTAAATTGTGTTAACACATGCCCACAAATTGCCACCAGCAATGCAATAATTTTCTCTCAGTGATCATAATGTGTCCAAGTGAGTCATTTTGATTATGACATGCTAATTACATATTGCCTTTTTTCAGATTCAGAAAAACCAGGGATCTTTAATGGTAAGCTTTATGAGTTCAGAAAAAAATTCACTTTTCTTTTTCCTGATGGCTGCTTCCTTTGCATGCTTGAATGCCTTGTTTTAAACTTAGCAAATTGCATTTTGAAGAAAATGCAAACCTTTAACTGCCTGTATTAGATTAGGTACCATTAGAAATAATAGAACATCCTGAGCATCAATGTTTTTATAAGAGTTTGCTGTTGTTGATTAATCTTGCTATATTTTATTGCATTAATGATTTTTTCTTTCCACTCCACTGTAAAGATATTGCATAGAGGCTAATACTTTTTCCTCTCTTCTTTTCCATTGCAGCCTCTCCAGCTTCTGCAGTGCATTGTTGATGAGGTGAGGCATCGTCTTATGTGCTTTCACTCCTAAAGTCATTCCTAATGGTGTGGAAAGCTTATATTTTGTTTTCTAATGAAGCACAATGCCCAACATCCTCGGAGCAAGTTGTGTTGTATGGCTCTGAGCTGTGTTACGTGAACTGCCCTGGTCCAGAATCCCACTCTCCTGACTCTGGCTAAGAATCCCAGTGAAAACAGACAGTCCCACAGGCTGGTCCTTGGGGGTGTCAGAGGCCCTAAAGACAAATCACAGTAATATTAATTGATCCTCTCCTTGGCCAGATGTGGATAGAGCCGGAAATTAAAGCAGTATCATTTTTTCCGTAACAGATATTTAAAGTCATTCCATGGGCAAGGGTCAGAGTTGAACTGCAAACATAAGCTAGATGAAATTTGTCTTCCTTGCTTTATTTACCTAGAGCATCTCAGGGTGATGAAAGTGTTCAAAAGCTCTAAGTCTACAGTTCAGCTTTAATTTCCTCATTAGGCACTTTCCCCAGACACCCCCAACTCCTTGTGCTTTTAACCAGTATTTTCACATTTTAAGTCATCCTACCTCTGGACATCCTTATTCCTCGAGTTCTTGGTGCCCACTTGCTTTCATGAAGCTGATCTACCTGGATTCCTTTCTCAACCAACTTTTTCTTCTTCTTATTCTGACTTGAAATTCATTACTGCTGTAAATTAGCAATCTTATAGTACATAAGCCTCTCAAGTAGGAAACATTAACATTTTTTTTTAAAGTGAGTTTTTCGAGGCATGGGCTTGCCTAGTAGCAATGTTTATTTTTTAAACTTTAATTTTACAATATTTGAAACACTTCTAATTAGAGAGGGAAGGCGATAAATGATTCAGATAGGAAAGTTTGAAAGAAAAAACAAATCGTAATTCATAATTATTCCTCTCAATTAAACATCTGTATAACCAGTTATGAGATTTGGGAGGAAAAATAAAGATCCTCCTAGGAAAAAAACAAACATGCACACATATCACAATAATAGTAAGAATGGGGCTCTAACATCCTTAATGGTTGCATCAGTCAGTTCATATATCCCCTGCAAGCCATAAACCATGTTGGTGCAAAAATGAAGGCATCGTCCTGAAACAAATGGAGGCCCCATTATCTCAAATATCAGGCAGGCCTCCTGGATCTAATAGCTCATCAATATCTTCTGTCATCTTAGATTCCAAAAGCATCCTATCCCCATCAGAATGTCCCAGTTAAACTGATTTTCCTGAGGTCTCCCTCCAGTTTTGCTTATGGAAGTGCTAGGGAAACATGACCTACCCAGTGAAATGCACAGCCTCCATGTTGCCTGAGCTCTGCTCTTCCTGGTCTGTCAGCTCCTCAACATCAGAACATTCGAGTATAGTTAGTTATTCCTCACTGATTACATGTGTACTGCTAGGTGCTAATTTGAAGTTTTTCTGTATTCAATATCTATTTTCATCCCTTATTTTAAAGTAGTGATGATTGCTAGTAGATTTTAAATATTTTACTTGTTTGATTTGGGCAAAATCATGAGACTTCTGAAATTATTGTAGGGAGTTGTTCTGTCTAAGGGGGAAGGGGAAAGAGGGAAGGTCTATGTGATAAAAGATGATAGTGTCTAACTTAGGCAGTGTGTTTTTCTTTATAGCATTTCTTCCTCAGTTGAGGTAAAAAATATAACTTAGACACTCATCCCACTTGCTCTAAAAACATATTAAAATAATTTTTATGAAAACATAGTTAATTCATGTTTTCTATTCTAAAACAATAAGTTGACATTAGAACTGAGCTGATACCCAGTAATAAGAGTATTAGGAAAGGATTGGGGAGATGACCTGTCCTAGGCAAAGTCCATCTGACTTCCAAAGAAGGAAGGATTGGTGGGGTCCTTTAGTTACTACGCTTGTCCTGTGTATTTACCAAGTTTCTCCTTGCTGTGATTCATGGTTCCTCAGTGGCCTGAGGACCAACTGCATCAGAATTATCTATGACTCTTCTTAAAAATGCAGATTCCCCAGCCCCAGATAACAGGATTAGAGTTATAAGAGTGGAGCCCAGCATCTACATTTACTAGTTTCCCAGGTAACTCTTCATTGCACATTAAACTTTAAGAACCTTTTGTGTAATGATTTTTTTCAGGCTGAATCATCCCTTCTAGAGCCCATAGGACAATTAACTGTCTATCTTCATTTGCACCTGACTTTTAGGCTTTCCATTCCTGAGTGAATATAACCAGCCAGGGTTTGAGTCATGTTTCTCCTTGCACATGGGATTTACCCAGTTGTGAGTTGGATATCCAATGGTAGTATGTACTGCTTTTGTTGTTGTTGTTCTTGTTTTTTTTTTTTTTTTTTTAGAGAAAAGTCAATTCCCAAGTGTCACACCTAAGAAAGCCTAATTCCAACAACAAGATGGATCTATTTTGAGTCATGTACAAAAGAGCTATGTATCAAAGTCCAGTGTAACATATTTCATTATTATGTTGATTCATTTGACCTCTTGTCATGGCCTCACAAAGAGTACAGAAATAGTAAAGTAGACCCAAGATAGGTGAGACCCAGTTCCTTAGAGTGGCCAGAGGTGAATGTCAGAACCAGTCAGGGAGTGAGGACGTAGAATTGTGAGACAAAGTCAGAGTCAGTCACCAGATGTCCAAACAGAAGACACCAAAAGCTAAACAGAGGAGCAAGAATATAATGAACATAAAACTTGTTCATTGTTCTACTGAACTGAAAGAGTAGTTAAAGTAACAGGAAAATTGAGCTCCAGTCAAAAATCTGGACAATCCAGTTTAATTCTAGTGGATGGAGTTTATCTGACTCAGGATGTGAGTGATGTCTTAAAAGACACCATCCAGGGCCTCAGAGTTGCTTTTCTCAACAGAACTTCCTACCTTGAAAGCTTTATATAATCAAGTCCTCTTCAAGTCACCAAATACTTCCATCCTAAAGTATTGAGATTCATTGTAAGTGATGTGTATCTACACCTACCATGATCACTTAGCCATTTGATAGCTTTAGAGAATGAGGTAGCCTGTATTGTTTAGATAACTGAGATTTATTATTTTAATCTCTGACATCTATGAACAAATTTGCATTTTCAGAAAAAAATGTTTCTAAAACGTATATGCTTTTGGCAGCCTGTTGAGAAAGTGTAGTGATTATCATTTAACCTTTTCTTGATGAGTCCATTCCTTGCTTTGAACACAGTACCGAACTAAACTTTGATCTATTGATAACCTCTAGGACTATAAAATTGTGTAGGTAGGGCTTACCTTGTTTTTTCACTGAATTTTACTAACCATTTTACCTGGGTGTTTGGCATTGGCATTCAGTGATGTTCTCAGGACTTCTTGAGGTGTATAGAGCCATTTGCTTCCAGGATAGATAGCCCTACTTGGCTATGCTACCTTGCTTACTGTTTTTCCTGTGTTCTTTCTTGTAACCACCTGCAGTGCAGTGAATTACTTAATATGGTCCTTATGGCCATAGTCTTTGTAACTCCTACCAAATGACTAGGTAGGACTCTGCAAATGAGGTCCTTCTGGCCCACCAAGGGGATTAGACATCTTGCTAATAATGTAAGGAAGGTGACACCCTTATGGGGGTGGGACCAGGCAAATAAGGTATATGGAACTCTAATGAGGGAATTGGTCAGTTTTGCCATCCCACTAGGCATAACATGAGCAATCCTAGAGGCTGACACAGGGGACCTCATGACCACCAAGAAGGAAGAGCCAGGAGTAGAGCACATCTTTTGGACCCAGGATGCCTGCACTGAGAACCTCTTCCACCTGGGAGATAGAAAGCGAGTTGTAACACCAGAGAAGGTGACAAATGATCAGAAGCAGTAGCTGAGAAACAGCAGCAATGGAGACAGCAAACCCAGGAGACCAACAGGCAAAGCACAGTGGGCTTCCTGGCCCACAGAACAAGAAAGCTAGTGCCTTTGGGCAGGAGGTTTGATGACAGAGTGGTGTGCTTCCAGGCACTTATTGGTGGAGTTAAGGAGCTTTGTAACACTTGCCCATGCAGGACAGAGGCCAGGCAAGTGCAAGAGGACTGAGGAGCCTAGAGGCCTAAGAGAGATGTACCACAGGCATGGCTAAGAAGGATTTGTCTTGACTGAAGAACTATATTCTGAATCATTTCTGAACCTGAATCTTAACCTGTTACTTCCCTAATAAACCCCATAACTTGAGTATGGTCTGTGGCCATTGCAACAAAGTGTCAAACCCAGCAGAGAAATAGGGAATGCCATGGGAGAACAGTTGGTGTCAGAATTGGTAAAAAAAGTTGGAGGGTGGAGGCCAGTCTGACCTCCACCTCATAGGAATCAGCCTTGGACTGTTGCTCTTGATTTTCCTCCCCCCTTTTGAAGTTAGAGGAAGTCGGATGCCTCTTCTAGCATGTCATTTTTATACCACCTGTGTTCTCCATTGCTATGCCTCATTCTTGTCAGTGATTACCTGCTGTCCCAACAGTCTGACCACCTATATTCAGTCCTTGCACTCCTGATAGTGACCCTAGCAAAAGTAAAAAGTACCAGATGAAATCAGGTACCCAGTGGTACATGTAAGGCCAAATGGGCTCTTCTGAGAAGGAAGATAGAGGCTTATACCCCTCTTTAATGAAGCAGAAAAGGTGGGCTTGTGTTCATTCATTCAGCAAATAGCTACCAAGCTATGTATGCTGGCCTGAGTTGAGCAAGCCATGGTCAGGGGGGCCTCCAAACCTAGAGAGAACTGAGCATCCAGGTTGACTGCAGACAAGGTCTGTGAGTAAGGGTAGAAAGGAAGAGCACAGTCACACATCATGGGCTAACACAAGGTGGTGGGACTCAGGACACTACATAGCCCCCTAAAGCTATCCCCAGTGCCTAGGCTCCCAGATTGGCAGGCAACAAAGGGCTGGCCACTAGCATGATAAGGATGTGGCAGGTGGCAATACAGCAGTTAAATCTAGGTGACCAGATCCCTGGCTGGGTGGAGCTACTAGGGTGAGAGC